TTCCTGTGTATCCTATTATGGATACTGGTTTTCTTTATTATGATTTTTCCCCTTTTTCTTTTTTTTTTTTTTAGAATATAGCAGTAAAGCTATTGCTGAAATGAATGATTTTCTTTTTCTGAAATGTAATCATTGATGCTTGAATGATAGAATTTTAGTACTGTAAACAGGCTTTAGTAATTAATGTGAGAAACTTAGAAGAAATGCTTAGAATGGACTATTAAGTGTGCCTAAATGAATTTTGCGGTAACTGGTGTTCTTGGTTTTGTCCTACTTAATACACATTAATTCAGAACTTGTATTCTATTATGAGTTTGACAGTCTTTCACAATGACCAGCAACTTTGATGTTTGCACTAAGATTTTATTTGGAATGCAAAAGAGATCGAAAGAGGTTCAGTAGTACACATGTAACTAATTTATTTGAAATATATCCTAAAGAAATCTTCCAGTTTCTTCAAGTGCCTTTTTAAAACATCACCGAGGATTAGTGAAAATGTAGAGTACCATATTTTTCTTCTTGCATGTCATCTACATAAACTGTTTTGTACAATGAGAAATACTAATTTGTTTGACATTCCATGTTAAACTACTGTTTTGTTCAGCTTCATTGCATGTAATGTAGAACAAGTCCATGAGATCCTGTGTTCTGGAGAGTGTTCTTTATTCAATAAAGTTTTAAGTTAGTGTAAAGATGGCCTCTACATCCTGTGTGCTTTTTAAAACTTATTGCATCCATTCACAATCATCAAAGACATTTCCAAAGGTTGTGAAGATTTGAGCAAATAAGATTCACAAGATTCAAGAATCTTTGAAAGGCCAATAGTTACAGTTAGCTCCGTTTAGCGCCATATTGTTAACATTTTGGGGTATTTATTCAACTGAGAAGATAAAATAAACAAGTGTTAAATTTGGAATATTTACAATTAATGAGATGTGTGGATGAGTTTAAAATAAGATAATACTCAGTAATTTAGTAAACCTATACATGACAAAAATAAGCATGCAAAGATAAGGATTTTAAGCTATAGAGCTTCCTGGAGATTAAAGAATAAGAACAGGGTTGGTTTGAGTATAATGGTGCTCTATGACAAAAGAATGAAATAGATCTATGAAAATAAAATTTAAAAAAAATTTAACATCCAAGGAAAATTGAACCATTCAGAGGGGATAGAATAATTCTGGGCAATTGATAATATTGCTGTAATTTTAAATATAAAGTATTAATGTTTTTAAGTCACATTTCAAGAAAATTTTTTAATTTAAAATTGTTTACATAAACATTTATTATCACAAAGCTAACTAGTAGATAAAGGGAGCACTGAAGACACTAATTTAGAAATAATCTAGTCCAGTTGCTTTTTTATTTCCTATTTTGATGACAAAGGTTATGAAATTTTCCTAAGGTCAAAAGATTATCTAATAAACAGGTTCCCAGTCAATTAATATAATTGATAGTGTCAACAATTCTTCAAGTATTTTCATTTAGCTGGCGGAGAACTCAGAGAAGGACGTTTTCTCTGTGTTTGTCTATTTGCATTTACTATGGGGAATAGAGAAACTGATGATTTGAGTGTATGTGTTTGTGTATCCTACACAAGCAGGCTTCATTGGGTATGGATGGACAAATGACTACTGAATGTTACAGAGATGTAGGGTGGAGGTATGAAACGGGTTTCTAATGTATGTGTGTGGAGGTGGGAGGGCAAGCTATATCTTTCAGAAATAGTCATAGTCTATTCTAAATATTTTTCAACTTTAAAGCTTTTCACTGTTTAAAAAAGTATTTAAGTACATTATAAATATGCAGTTTTAAACTATGAAAGTATATGAAATGGAAAATCAAACTTCTCATCTCTTCCCATTCTCCAGCATACATATCAGAGAAGTTCTAATTCCCAGAGGAAATTACTGTTCGAAGTTGCAGACCCCATTCACATATCATGCATGTTGTTAGTAGCGACAGTTCTTAAAATCACCACACAGTCTCTGTTCAATGAATCTTACAATGTAAATAATTCCAGAAGTTCTTTAAAATGATGTTCTCATTTTGCTTACCTTAATTGACTGCCTGCTCTCTACAACTAAAAATAATGCAAAAATATTTATTAGATGCTTTTTTTTTTTTTTTTGTATAAAGTTTTATGTTTAAAAATTGGAAAACTGAATCTTCTGGAACTTTCTGTGGTAGTAGACATGTTTTAATTAAATAGCCACATGTGGCTAGTGACTATCATATTGGGCAATAATGTTCTAGAGCCTACTGGGGAAAAGAAAAAGCTTAATGTTGGGTGGCAATTGAGGAGAAGACAGTCATGTTAGAAATAAGAATGGGGAAGATAAACTTGGTCCTTTTATAGTCTTGTAATAGTATTTCTTACTTTGTAAACAATAAGAAACTTATTTTAAGCAAAGCCTCTGCTTTTATATGAAATTCCCTAGTCTTTTGTTAGATAATCATATGTTTTATATTACCATTGCTTTACTTCAGAATTTTATACACAAACTCATGCTGCCTATTTTTAAAAGTGGTAAGATTGTCTAACATCTTCAAATATCAGAAAGAAGTCCAGTACCATTATTTGGTTCAGTGCATTAGCACCGTAGCCCCTGTGGGTCTTTATTAAGCTTCCAGGCCACAGGCTACTCTTTTACCCAATTTTGAGAAAATTGATGAACCTCAGCATGCCCAGGGTGCTAGTTTCTTGCCCACACACTGCCTCTCCTAAAAATTCCAAACTTCAAATTCCAACATGCCAAAACATCTGTGCTTTAGACTTGGAGGGAGAGCAAAATAATGAAGTTTGGGGGCTTATTAAAGTCTTAAAGTGAGTCCTTTTTATAAACAGCACACTAACAGTGTAGAAACGTATTTATAATCTTTGCTGGCTCTGAGATTCTGTTTTTACCTTCTCTTGGTTGGGCAAATATAGCTGAGCCCTTGGCATGTCAGAATTTGCAGCTGGCAATTTTCAGAGCTCAAGAGCAGACATGGAACAAACACCATGGAAACAATGCTCCAGGAAGAATAGAATAAGAAGAATATCATGTAAAGAAGAAAGCTAATTTGGAGAGAAATTTTTACATTTGTTTTCTGGTCTTCAGGTGTTGAAATTTTAAGTCAGATTATTTCTTCTGGTCTCAGGATGTTTCTTTCAAACGACCAAATGCTTATTTGTGCTATGACTTGTAGAAGAATTTCAGTGCCTACACACTTTCCTATTGAATATTAAAACTGTCTCAAGAGGCATCCACTTTAGAACGCAAACCCTGGGCCCAAGTCTTATTTAATGCAATGAGCCATCTGCCCGTATACAATATGGAATGAAATGGAGCCTGGCATTTGTGCTGGAATCTCTTGTCAGTCAGTTACAAAACTGTGCATCAGAATTAGTATAGACAGTAAGAATAGTTTTTTAGTTGCTATGGTAACAGAAACCATGAGGGTTATTTTATTTTAAAAGTAAACAAAAGTGTAAGACTGCCTTCTCTTTGAAAATCTCAAGTCAGGGTTATATATTTCATATATTCAAGTACATTTTTTAATTCTGAACACAGCTAACTAATTTAGAAACCCTTTCCTTTGAAAATTTAAACTAATGTTAAACCTAAACTGTGAGAAATGACTACAAGCGAGGTGAACTCGAAGAACTCTGGAGGATAGAAGGTAACATGTTGAGATTCATTAAAATAGGACTTGAAGCCTCAACTCCAGTCAGAGTCCCAGAATATGAATTAGCCATTGCCTTTGAAGACGGATGTGACTGTGGCTCAAGTAAGTTAGTTCCTCAACTCAGAGGAACTAAAATTAAATTGACCTTTATAATACTCTATTATGTTAATTTCTAATCATCCAAGCTACTCACTATATAAAAACTTACTTAAAGATAGGCACAACCAGAGAACTAGTTAAAGAAAATGTTTTGAGACGATTTTCTATATTTTGGCTAAGCTTGTCATGACCGCTTTTTTGTGGGCACGTAATTTAAAAATATTTTAGGGGAACCACTTTATGTTCATGAGTTTCAAATTTCAGTGAGACTCAAGTAAGTTGGAAGTTAAATGTAACTACATTCAACATCCTGTCATCTATAATTCAGTCTAAGTTAAAACTATAACAAAGATTTGCCGTTATATTATTTTCTGTATATTTGAAATATTGTATAATTTATAATTTTATAATTCATAATTAAAAAAATTAAAAAATGATAGCAGATACAACACATTGCAATGTACATGAGGTTATTTCTTTCGGTGTAGAACTTTAAATCATATTTCTTCTCCATTTTCACATTCTTAGTTTCTTCAGTCTAACCTCATCAGAATTTTCTGATTTGTGATAGCTTAAAATACACATATGTGTGTGTGTGTGTGTTTTTCTTTTTTTCTCTCTCTCAGGTTTTTTTAACAGCTGAAATTTCAATTTTGTAATTTATTTCCTATCTTGAATCTACAAATTGTAGTTAAAATGGATTAAATAATAGAAAGCTTCCAACAAATTCCTTTTCTTCTTTTTAACATACACTTTTAACAAATAAGTGCCAAGTTAAGCATTTCAATAGTAACTCTGAAATAATCTAGCGGATGTTAAAAACTGGTAATCATCGGAAACCATCGAAAATTTTATTTAATTTTCATCCTTACTCTGGTCCTCATTCATCTGGAGGATTTGCAGCACTTGATAATTAGAGAGTACAAGAACCATAGATGATAGTTATCTAAAAGTAGCAAATGTGGGAACCAGAATGCCATTTGGTGTTTTACCACTTTTAGTCAGCATTATGGTGGAGTGCTACCCCTAAGCTGATAATTTTACATGAAAATGAGCTATTACGTGTGAGAGGGAAAAAAAAAATTGAAGAAGCTATAAAGTA